CGCTGTAATAAAGCTCTAAGCATACAGGTCCTGAGAATAGTTAGAAAATTAACACCTCTTTTATTCAGTAAAAAAATTCCTATCGCACTAAATAGAATATCGTATTACATTGAGCGTCGATGGCTCAAGGGTTAAGTACATGAATTGCAATATGCAGGTCTTGGGTTCGAATTCCACCATGTATTTTTAGATTTTTAATTTACATTTATCCGATTCTTACATCTAATTCTTACCGATACTTATATCTACAAAGAAATTCAAAAGATATATGTGAAGTCAACCAACCTGTACTGGGCCAGCATGGTTGCCTATGGCCTATTGACTCCTTATTTCTGGTAGGCGCCGAGCCTCTCGTTAGGGACGCAGTGATCTGATGATGATAACATTGCGAGCGTAAATAACATTTACCAATATGAGAAGAATTAAACATACTTATCTGTAATCGAGTTTACAAAAACAAGACATAGATTTTAGAATAGCTAATCAATATAGCGTTTACTTTCTTACGAGAACAGATGAATTTTAAGAAAGAAAAAACACAATTATATTACTTAACATATCTTGTAGTAAACTAGTAGATATTTTAATGCAATAAATTTATTTTCTTTTTAATTAAACATATTCTTTTATTTACCCATTTAGAGAGTAGATATTTTAAAGTCAATAATGCACTTACGGAATACATGTCACGGAAAGAACGACAGCAGAAAAATGTACTGAACAATTGTTTTAAAACAATGGATCCGGAAACCGTGCCACCGTTGAAAGGATTATGCCTTCTCTGTATGGAAGTAAAAACCAGAACAATATGTACTACCAATTGCAAGATACGAGAATTTATATATCATCATATATTATCAGAATATTTCCAATTATGATAAACATTCATCACTCTATTGTAATATTACTAATATTAAAAATGCGAATGTTTGAATGGATGTTTGTTTGAAGGTATCTCCGAAACGGCTCAACCTATTCTGATGAAATTTGGTACAGATATTAAGTTTTTTTTTAATCTCGCGCAGTCGGAGTCGCGGACGACAGCTAGTTCTATAAATAAATCAATACCAAAATAAATTTCCAATCCGATCCAAAAGCAACACTGGTGACGTTATACTTATTATATTCTTACTTTTACAAACTTAACGCTATTAAATTTTGAGGAGAAAAAAATGAAAGCGAATTATAACTCATACCTTAAAAGTCAAGCTGGCAGTCATAAATAAATAAGACATTTTAAATATGTAAAAGTTAAACTTCTCTCTAGAACAAATGTTTATACGTAAAAAGACAAATAATAATTCATCAGAGCTTGGTTTTTTCATGACACAAACCCCATCTACAAAATAAAACACCAACACAGTTTTGCTTCAGTGCCTTTTAAAGTGACACACATTTCCCTTATCGTCAGCGTAAAAGCGCGATCAGAAAACATGGAAACTTCAATGCGACACTAAAACGTAGTGTTTACACAAAAAAACATAAAATCGTGCTTATAACTTTTAATTTAAAAAAAATCATCTTTGATTGCTATATATTTTAATGGGGGTTAAAAAGATATTTAACATTGACTTTTTTTCCTATTTTTGTAATTAATGACTCATTAAACCTGATATACATTTTTTATTTACATTTAAAGTCAAAAACAGGTCCAATTAGACAGATACTATACACGATATTCTCTGTGTTTACATCGAATGTCTCTGTATGTACACGAGTATCTGAGATTACAAAATTTACTGCAAAACGATACTAATGTCGCGTTAGCCGCTGTATAAAAATAAATACAAGTGTAAGAGTATAGTCATGTCGGACATTTATGTCGACCCTTCGTACACCAGGCAATGTAAATCATCGAAACTATAGTTGCGTCGCGAGAATCTCGTCGCGCGCTCCGTGCACAAAACATTGATATCGTAGACGCGAGTTGTGTATAGTTAAACAAGCATATCTGAACCGGTGAGGGTGGCGCTACCATCGCGGCTGGGTCTTTCAGAATATAACCTATTTACGACATAGAAAATGATATAAAATTAAACAAATGACGTGACAGCTACAATACAAAGAATTTTGTGACAATATTCGTTATAAGAGAGGGGCGCTAGTGAGCTGTAATAATTTAGTTTGACTTATACCCACCGGTTCAGATAACTTTGTCACTGTATATTCGGTTAACGCATAGCGACGACATGTCAACCCTACAGAATCGATCCGCCATTTTTAAATTACAACGATTTTGAAATTCCAAACAGCGGTTGGTCTACAATCTGGTTGATGGCTAGTTGGTGTGCCATTCAATTAAATTAAGATACAAATAAGAAACAAACTTTACTGTATGCAAAACAGAATAATTTGCTACCAAATTACCAAACCGGAATTGTTAGACCATAAATACTACTAAATTATGTAGATTAATCTAGGGTAATTAAAATCAGTGGATTCTGTCATTAATATGATTTCACTTATTTTCTTTTTTTCGTATTGCTGTTGCTTAACAAAACGTTAACGTTGGCTACAAAGGTGAAGGAAGAGCAAAAAAGTATAGAATGACTGTATGAAAGAGGATATGCGTAGGAATGGGGTAGATTCGGATATAACGGCTGATAGAGATGTATGGAGGAGTAGTACATACTGTGCCGACCCTCAATAGGGATAAGGGCAGGTTGATGATGATGATGTTGCTTAACAAAACAGAACAGTTTTGTTAGTTTCTTTAAGTGTTGTATTTTATTTTAAAACCAGTCCCTATTAAACTTATAGTTAATAAATAAAACCCATAATAGATAAAAAGCAGTGCATAAAAACTTATCGCAGATTTGTTTTGTTTCAAATTACTTCAACTTATCTTACTCAGACTCATTAATTAGCCACTCGTCCAACGTGTTTACGTTGTAGGAAAACATCGTGATGCAACCTGCACATATCGGTGAATAAATTCAAAGAGTGTAAACCCGCACTGTTGACTATAGCCTAGTCACCTTTAAATTGATTGATATAATAAGCTGACGACTTTTTCATACTCCATCTAATCTAATCTACATCTCTCTTTACATGTGCTATATGTTTTGAATAGAAGTTTTGGTATACGAGCCTGAATATTAAAGTATATTTCTTTAGGATTGCAGATGTTGTATACTGTAAGGATGCTATGCAGTTTTTAAATAAATAAATAAAAAAAATGTTTTAACGCATTTCTTGTTTAAGACCGAGAATATTCTGTTCATATATTTCAGTACAACGAAACTCTCATAAATCGTATACTAGTAGGAAATCGATGTGAAGATAGCACGTACATATTTTATCCTAGCCCAGAGATGTTGGTTTGGAAGGAAATATCATCTGTCTTCGCTGGTACCAAGTGCATCTGTTTCATACAAAATTCAACAGCTTCAACTCAAAGCATTCGATTGCCTTGCGAGTTGTTCGCACTTTAGAATCGTATTTATAAAATTTCACTTTAAATTATAAGTTAGCTGATAACAAAATTGAAATTCAAACAGAACACTTACAGATTAAAAAGGTCTCTTCATAGTTTTTCTATAGATGATTAGTGTTTTTGGCCTTACATCAATAACGATAACTTTAAATTACTTTTAAACATATTACCCATCCTTTTCATTTTCTTTGGAAAGTACGAGATAATAATATGTTTAGAACCTGTGTAGTTAGAGCAATATAAATTCACATAAAGCGGTTGCAGAACACTGCAAAGTAAAATAGATTTATTACTCTACTAGCTATGGCTCGCATTTCTGTGCACGCGGTATTAAAAAAGCAAGTAGTCTATGTGGTTAACTCCGTTGAGCAATACATCCAAACATTCGCATTTATAATAATATGAAGATTAAAATAAATATCAATATTTATAGGTTTTTTTTATTTGGAGAAGGACTTTACAATGTTACCTTACCTTTTAGGAGGAGACAGGGCTGATTTGATCGACTAAAACTAGCCAACATCAAGTTCCAAAACCTTTGTCCCCTGTTCGTCCTCAAGTCACCTTACAAAAGTCTAAACAGGTATATGACCTCAACGCATCTTTTTTCTTTGGAAATATTTAATTAAAATAAAAACACTTCATCATTAATTTAAATTAAACGAAACGAGTATCGCCGTAACTCTAGCGGAACTGAATAAAATGAATTTATTTGTTATAATATATTTACAATGTAGATTATTCCTAACGATCTTGTCTTCCGTAAAGTATTAACCTTGGGTTTCTTACACCAAAATCTCTGTATAAAATATCCCTTTCTTTCATCGTTGACAAAACAGAGATAACAATATATTTTAAACGGGTATATTGGTCTCAGAAACTCACTGTTAAAGATGGTAATTTTGATGTATGATATATCACAAAGGAATCTAATAATTTATTTTAAACTTCTACGTATTAAAAACATATAGTTTTTGTCATCGACCGCACGTGATAAAAATAAAACTAAGCAACATATGCGCTATTCTAGGCATTTTTTTAAGCTTAAGCCGTCCAAATTTCCTCCTTTTTGGAGGTACCAAGCCGTGGTTAAAAACAAAATTGCCATTTACATTCTTCTAGTCTTTGTCTGGAATCTATGAAAATACGATTTTTTTGAACTTTAAATTAAACGTACATAATTTTGTATTAATGTGTTACGGAAAAGGTTTCTAAAGGATTTTCCCGGCAATTATTCGAATTTTTCTCACCTTTGAAACCTTCCCAAGACCTCCACGAACATTTCAAGACTAAGATAAGATAAATCCGTTCAGCCGTTCTCGAGTTTTACCGAGACTAACGAACATCAAATGATTTTTAATATATTTTAGAATATATTTTTTAATTAAAATAATAATAGATGAAAAATAAGGCATTTAGGCGCTAAACAATCTCATAAGTAATGACAATTTTTTTGCACGGACGCCTCTATGATATGCTTTGTTAATTACTTTATTATAGTCTGACCTCGTAAAAAAAGTTCATAAGCATCTCTACAAAAATATCGTATATAATAGTCCAATTTAATTCAAGTTACGGCAGTGTTCATTGCATTTTCGTAACATAAAGACAAAATTAATAACAATGAAGACACATTTATTTGCTTTTCTAACAGTTGTGTTAACTGGAGCTAATGCTGCTTTGGGTAAGTTTTTTTTTTATTATTATCAGATTTTTGTTAATTTACCAATATTTCTTGCACAATTCCAACTAAGGTCTAGGCTTGTGCAAGGACATGGTTTACGACAATAGTCAAATGGCGGGATACGAACCCCCGACAACGTGGTAATCCGTTACCTTAACTATTGGGCTATTTACGCTTTGAAGTTAGTTTTAGTACAACTACACAGGCGTAGACGTTATTAGATAATTTCATAGCGTATCTAACCGTGGGTTTTTAACGCCAAAATCCTCGCTTAAAACCTATTGTTATCTTTATTTTATCAAAAAAGAAAGGCAGAGATGATGGCACTTTTTATACAGTAATGTTTGTCTCAGCAACTCACGGTCACGGAATTGTCATAAAAGAAATTGTTTGAAGTGTTGTTAAATATAATACAACTAAATAAAATTTTTCCAATTTCTAACTTCACTTATAGTCGGTTTCTGAAATCATTTCTATATAAAACTTATCGTCATCACTGTCTGTTTGCAAAACGGAGATAATAATACGTTTTAAACGAGGATTTTTGTTCTCAGGAACCGGTTACTTAAGGAATTAAACGTGATTTAATTATGCACTGATATCTTGTAAAAAGTAGAAAACAAAATCAAACCAGTTTAGCCAGTATTTCTATTATGATTTTGAAGCGACTATGTTATGTCTCCAATGGTTCCATTTTATAGCTTTTTATATTGATCTATACACTTATGAATAACTAGCTGTCGCCCGCGACTCCGTCTGCGATGGAACAAAAAGGACTTATATAGTAGCTTATGTGTTCTTCCGAGTACGTTCTAAATCTGTGCTAAATTTTATCATTATCCGTTGAGCCGTTCTGGAGATCCTTAAAACATCGATCCATCTATCTAAACTTTCGCATTTATAACAAAGATTTTTTGAGTAATTTTTTTTTGTGAACTCCTATGACCTGTAATTTATGTGTTATTAATCAATTGTACTGTATTTTTCCAGCACCATTTATAAAGCCATGCAAGCTTAATGATAAAGAATGTGTAAAATCCAGTGCAACAGCAGCGATACCTTTTATTGTACCGGGAATACCCGCCCTAGATATCCCACCCAGTGAACCCTTGTACATAAAACAAGCCACATCTGACCAGGGTGAAATGAAACTGACCTTTAACGATATGAACATATATGGTTTAAGCCAAAGTACCTTTAACAATGTAGAGTAAGTTTCGTTTTCTTAACTTGAATTATAACAAAACATGTTGTTGTTATAAAATGCCGAAAAAAAATTAAAGATGAAAAACTGACCAAAAATATCGTATACACATGTTTAACCCTTTGACCGCCGGTGATGGATATTACGGACGTCAAAGTTATATGTTTTACCATAATTATGCATACTACTTTCGGTATAAATACATTATTTATTGGTCTTAAAAAATGTTTTCAAAAGCCGTTATTTATCAAAAATCCGCGGAGTTATAATCACGGTATAAAAAGTTTGAAATGTCAACGTAAAATGTATTTAAAACATTGTCTAATATTTCTATAGTAAGGTCCATTGAGTTTGGTCCTACTATATTTTATTGTAAGGCAATATACAATTATGAACACGTTGACATTTATTATTATTTTTTTACAGAATGGATGAGGCGAAATCAGTAATACGTATAGAATTAGAAACTCCTCTTTTTGCTAACGGTACTTATAAATTAGAAGGCAAAATTCTCTTTATCCCCGCTGAAGGAGAAGGAAACATTGAGATCAAAACAGGTAAATTGATACACGATACAAGTCATCGTATTCTTTACATATAATTTAAATATGACTTGACTTACTTGACTTAAAGTCCTATGTCCCCGAAGTGGTGTAGAGAGCGTCGACAGTGCATATACCTACTCTTAAATCCATTTATCCGTGATACCAACTTATCTTCACCTAATTCAGAGAATCTATTGTTATAATCCATTAAAAATATCCAAAATAACTTAATTTCAACCCGAGAAGAATACTATTATATAATTTTAATACAATCTTAGTAAGATTTAATATTTATATGTCTCTTTAAATATCATATTAACATTTAATTTCAGATAAAGTTAAGGTGTTCATTGATGTAAAATATACAACAATCACGGACAAAAAAGGTGATAAGTACTGGAAGTTGACAAGTTACGATTACAAATATGACTTAATCAACAAAGTCTATTTTATGCCTGAAAATCTATTCGGTGGAGATGCTACTAGAGGTAAGTTAAATCAATATTATGAACAGTTACAGGATGTTATTTATAAAATAAATACGTTACTAAAAACCATATTTAAAAAAAAAGATTAAATTGAAACGAAATATTCTACTATAGTATGTCTAAGATGGATTACTTTGACTAGTGACACCTATAAATTATAGAATTAATTTTGTATGAGCTTTAATGTTGTACTTAATAGACGCTTTTCATAGTGTAGGACTATACGCGCATTACTAATAACTATGAACTACCGAGAATCGGTTTTGTAATTATATTAATCGAAGAAACAAATACTATGACTTAGGTATCTTATTACTTTACCTTTGACTCATGCAATTAATTAAAAATTTCTGAAAATCTCAATTTTTGGTATGAAATTTTATTTTACTACATACCTAATTTAGAAGAATAAAATTGTTATAAAAAAAAACTATTTCATTGTGACCGTAAATCAAAAGCAATAATCAAAAATAATTTCAATTGCAAGTTCTATGAGAAAAACCATCGAAAAACAAAAAATTTCATGACCGATTTTAATCAACCCATCTCTAGTAAATTGTCACATGAATTGTCAAACTAATCTATCTTAAATAGACAGACTATACTACGTTTAGAGACCTAGATGTAGAATTTCCTAAATCACAATTTTCTTGTCTACAGCCAAGCCACTTTTGGAATTATTTGATCAAAGCTGGAAGGAGTTGATAACAGAATTAGGAGCACCTATAATAAAAGACGTAGTCAAAATCGCTATTGAACGTGTGAAGAAGTTCTTCCTGGCTGTATCTATTTCTGAACTTGTACAATCTTGATTAATATATGCAACTAGCGCTAATACGCCCGGACTTAGTTCGTATTTTTTTGAAATAAAAACTACTTATCCTTATTCGGACTAAATTACACATAATTAAATGATTAAATAAAAAAAAAAACTGTATTAACCTAATTAGCATCTTCCACAATTTATGGGAAAAATAAAATTATATTGAACTTGAAAATAAATAATAATTATTTTATTACCAATTGACAATTTTAATAGTTCACAGAGGTAAAGTGTGAACTCTTCCTAACATGGTAGCTATTCCCTACGAAGAAGAAGGAGAGTCTCTGTCTAGAGATGTCTCTATAAACCGACATATTTAAATTCACTTTCTTCTCAAGCATATCCTGTTTTCATACAATACATTCATAATTTCCTTTGTCTTCCTCAATGTAGCCATTTACATTCAGTCTCATTACTTTGATATTTATGTAGTCACTAGCTGTCGCGACTCCGTCCACGCAGATATACCTTAATAAGCCTATGTGGTGTTCCAGACTATGTTCTACAACTATGCCAAATTTCAGCGAGATCCGTTTAGCCGTTCCGGAGATATCTTCAAACATACATCCATCCATCTAAAAATTCGCGTTTATAATATTAGTAAGATCTCTCCGTATTATATTTTCATACCACGTTAAACTAATATTTTATCCAATTTCTCTATTACTATATTTTTCTTCTCTCTTCATTTCTTCTCATAGACTAACATAACAACTGAAACTAGAACTTTAAATAAAGCAACCACATTTTATTACTTAATAAAGACGTGATTGTTTATACAATAACGCTTTAATTTTTATTTTACGGTGTCTGCAGAAGAATATTTAATGAGAAATTTTATTACCAGCTTCCTAATGGATTACATCATCAGCTCACTATACGTCTAAACCGAGGGGCTCGGAGCCTACCCTAAGTTAAGGGTGATTAGGCCATAGTCAACCACGCCGGCCAAGTGCGGGTTGGTTGACTTCACACATATCTTTGAATTTCTTCTGCAGGTCCTAGGTTCGAATCCCGCCATGTACCAATGTGTTTTTTGATTTCCGATTTACATATGTACATTTATCCGACGTTCTTACGGCGAAGGACAAAATCGTGATGCAACCTAATGGATTGTTTAATTACAAATCTTGTACATGCTTTTATTTGTATGTTTATTTTATTGGACATTTATTAATTTTAAATAATGTCCAATTACATTGTTAGTTTATGCACATGTTAAAAAATGATGTTAAACATTATTTATATTGATCTAATGCCCTTTACTAATAAACACAATAAAACAATAATAATTATGTTTAATGCCATCTATTAACAAATTGCAAAACTATATTTCAATTCTGTTATTTTTATTTTTCTAATTGTAAGTAAAAATTTATGTTTGTTTTGTAAGCACTTATTCTATGTCCGTTGAATCAAAATTGAGATCTAAATCTTCGTCAATCAGATATGTACTTTATAGTTATAAAAATAAATCAAATTAAGACAGTTAATACTTCATTCCATAGTTAGTAATCTGAAAATAATATTTAACATAAACAACTATTAAACGAAATGTATGGAAATATTATAAAAGCAAATAATAACTAAACTTGTTCCGTGTAACGTCCGTTACCATAATTATTCGGTTAGGTAACATAAACTAGTTGACTTTCATTGCTGCAGCGAAGTTTGTGCCAGGCGAGTGAGCTCATAAACTGTTTTAAACGACTGGAAATTTTTAAGTTCCTAAATGCGGTTGGCCGCGGAAAATTAAGTTTTAACGCTTCCACGTGCGCGTGATAATTTGTCTGCGGTGTTTATATTACGAACCGGTTGCATTAATTAATTTTATATTAAACAAACGAAACTACATGGTGGTATAGTTATATCTAGCTATCCGTATCAGGCATCGTCTATGTAGCCGATACAAACGGACCTCTTTACACTTTTTTATTCATTATTTTTAAATTTAGAATGTTTTATGTTTTTTATTCTTTTTTATGATTAAAAAATGTCAGTTATGAATATAAATTCTTATAGTGTGTGCTAATCTTATCTTTTCTCTCTTCCGTTTAATTATTATTTTTAACATTCATACTTTTTCAAAATTTACGCTCGTGCGTTTCCTTCGTCTATAGCACAGAAGAACCATAATATTTTACAAAATTAAAGTATTAATAATAGAAATTTTAACACTGGCATAATGGATAAAAGAAAACTATATTTTAATGAACCAGCAACGAAGAAAATAAAAAATCAAATCAATTAAGTAATCAAGTATTTTAAATCAATATTGAATCTATTAAAATAATAGCTGATTACAAAATATACAGAGCCATAACAGTACTAGCAATATATCGTCAGGGGAGCAGCAATTATCCCGGACAGGTCTTTGCACATAAATATTCATCTTGCAGACTGGCTGTACGGAATTGGAGGCATTCCTAGAAATCCGCACCGCGATCCATCGCCCTTACAATTGATTGATCTTAATTAAATCGATTCGGTTGATTGTCTCTATCCATTCTATTGATGCGATGTGATCATGGTGAAGATGAAATGCAATCAAACATCTGTAATAGTATTAGTTTTCGCTCTCCATTGTTATTAGTCGTAGAATAAGTAGTGATTGGAATTAACGGTTCCTAAGTTGATACAAATTATCTATAATTTAACTACGTATTTCAAAAGATAGTCCTTTGATCTGGTCTAAATTACGGACAACAACTGATGAATTGAAGAGTCCAATCGAAGTGATTTCAGGAAAGTCTGTGGCCAGAAAATAGACACATTTCTTTTTGTGGATTTGCTACGTGATAATATTATAAACTTATTTTACCAAGGTATGTTTATTCTTTAACATATTCCATTTACAAATTCGATTACGGGACAGGTCTAGGAAGGCTAAAATAAGAGAAGAATGGCAGAATTTGGAAGAGACCTTTGTCTACGTGAGACTAACAGATATAAACTTAAATACTAACTTAACTTAAACTTTAAGTAATGCAATGTATCTAAATAAAGGCTTATTATTATAATATTATGAACTGATAGTCAATATGGTTAAAGTAACGCCTGTCTACAGCAAAACAGAAGTGCTTAATATCACTACGTTCCGATGGCAGAATGGAGCTGCAAGCTGTTAAAACCGCTGGAATAGCAGACTCAACGCGGATCGCGTCCAACGCAAATAGCGTTGCTATGGAACCAATATCTCAACATTCTACAAAGATCCCTTTTGTTAGGGTTGTAAATTATGAATAGTTTTTCAAGAGTAGAACATTTGCTTGTACATTTTAGCGGTTAATTAAAAAAAAGATTAGCATTTTGTTTGAATTATTGTAAAAATTTTCAACTTCACTCTGGTCAGTTTGTTCTCTTCGTTCTCTATGTTTACTCATGGATTCATTTTATAGATGTTCCTTTGTTTTTTAGCAATGTTGGTTTAATTTTACGAGTCCCAACCATTACGCATCAAAATGTCTGTGGGCAACAGTGCCGTCGGCGTCTAGCGTGCTGTCAAGAACGCACTTTAGGGGAGAAATCCCCCGCCTTATAAATTGCCCCGCTATCTAAATCTGCGAGATAAGTGCGTTTCAACTTTCCAATTTCGCTACACATCAATAACACTGACAACTTCAGACGGGGGCAACAAATCAAATATCTAAGTATTATGGTACCCAGTGACAAATGGAACGGGCCGTTTTGTTTTTTTTTTTATGTCAAAGCCCACCAATTTACGTGGAACGTGGGTAGAATGCTTGATTCGAAATGTAAGGTTTCTGTGGCAATCGTTCATTATTTATGACTTTCATATGTAACAAAATGAAAACATCAAAGATATTCAGGAACAATATACGCAGTAAGAAAATACTGCATACAAGGTTTTTAAAACATTTTTTTAAATTTTAAATTAAATAAAATTGTATTCAATTTCATTAATGGGATCTATATCATAGAATAATAGAACAAATAGTATTACTCGAAGAAGTTAAAAACTGGCAAAATAATAAACGAAACGTCCGAACAGAATTTAAAAAACTTAATTAATAGACTATGTTTTCTTCCAGGCTATGTTCTACATCTATGCTGAATTTCATACAGCCGTTCTAAAGATACCTTTTGACGACCATACATCTATCTATATATCAAAACATTCGCATTTATAATATTAGTATGGGACTCCGCTGCCGGTGGTGCTCTATTTTTAATATAATATATTTTGTATATTTTTTTTATTTTTTATATGAAATGTAATATATAAAGAAAAAGGATAATAAATGAATGAGTGTTAGCAAGATAGTAAGAACAGTTACAATAAAGACATTGTTGTCTGTGTTATATCAAAGAATATATAAGAGATGACGTCATGTATTACAAATGTGAGTCCGGTAGAGTTCTCATTTAAGAAGGAATTATTATTTAATTAGGGTTGTATTATACGTGGCAGAATGATTAGAATGAATGGATAATTCAGGTTAAAGTTTGACAAAACATCGAGCGGCGCTGGAATTTGGAACGAGTCGCGGACGCTCGCAATGAAATGCTCTTCATTCCAATAATGGCGTCGCCGACGTGATGAATTATGAACTTGTACCAAGCCGAATTGCTGTCCAACTGAAATAGACAAGATAACATAGTTCTATTCTCTGTTAATATTTTTCATATTTGATTCCATGATATTATTTGTTAACACTCCTCCTACTTTGATAATTGAAAAATCGATTTGCGCGCCGCTCAGTTAAAGTTAAATCTTATTAATATTATAGATGCGAAAGTTTATATGAATTGATGGATGTACGTTTGAAGGTATCTCTGGAACGGATCAATAGATTTTGGAGAAAGGCGCATATGTAGAACATAGTTCGGAAGAACACACGGGATACAAGTTCAGTTGTTTTTTTTAATTCTCGTCTCGATCGACAGCAAGAATACAGTTAAAAGGAACGTAGTTAATGTGGTGCTTCTTGCAAAGGAATACTACTCAGGTGTAATCTGTAACACAAATCTACCGTGAAATGGTTTAAGATATGAACATAAATGTTCATTTATAAGGTAATGAAGGTAATCAATTAGCAGAG